TTTTTATTTAGTGCAAGGAAAATACTTTTTTGCTTTTAACACTTACTGTAAATACTCTGTGTAATAATACATGTAACTCCACTCGTTTAATAAAATTTTTAATAAGGCAGTGATTTTATACTTGTCATTATCACAAAATATATCACTGTCACATAGTCTCTGACGAGAACTGCATGCCAGTAACACTTTAGAATACTGTTCCATCGTTAATGAATAACTATATAGGAACAAATGACTAATGCACTATTAACATTCTAGTAACTATCAAGAAACTCTGATTAACAATTAAGTAGTGCTCGGTTGAAACTGATAGTTCACTATTTGCTAATCAATAACTAATATTTTCTCTCCTGGAGAAATATTAAGAACTACTGTATACAGGTTCATAACTAATGCCTAATGTATAATTAATTCTAAAGTGAAGATCATGATGATAATCCACTAGTAATGACTCAAGTATTACCAAATCCTTCTAAAGGAACTCCTAATTACTTGGATCAGTATTCTAAAGTGAAAAGCATGATAACTTCCTAATATTAACTGATGTCATTGTAAGCTTTTGAGATATATGTAAGGTTTTGGATAGTAATGACTCGTGTGTTACTACATCCTTCTGAAGAAATTATTAATTATTTGGATCAGTATTCTAAAGTGAAGATCACAGTAACCCACTAGTAATGATTTAAGTGTTAGCAAAATTAATTACTAACCAGAACCTTACAAAAACCTCAAAAGTTTACAATGACTTCAGTAATTACTAGGGAGTTATCGTGATCTTCACTTTAGAATACTGATCCAAAAACTTAGTAATTCCTTTAGAAGAATATAGTAACACCTGAATAATACATACTTTACAAAACCCTCAAAAGCTTACACTGATTTCAGTCATTAGAAATCTTCATCAATTTGACAACAAACGCACTGCAAATGCTCACAACACAACCAAATAAAGAAACGTGCTGCAATCGAACTGGTGAAGATGTTTTCTTGATTTGCTGGTGCTTTTTCTATTTGCAAGTGTTTTGTGAAGTTGCAGCGCGTTGAGCTCTCTTGGCCACCGTAGGCTTGCTTAGTTGGGGACACTTATTTTCCAGCAATTTCGTCGATGAGATTGCACAGATACTATTTAAACTAAACTGAGCTGGATGATGGCATCACTGAATTCAATGATGAACTGCTTTCAACTGAAAATTTAGTGTTTACTATTGTCATTTTGCATTATTGACAATGGCTGTAGTTATATTAACTATCGGGGGCTAGGCAAATAGTACTAGCATAAACGCTGATTATTGTTTGAGCTTTATTCAAGTTGTTCGTAGTTATTTTAACTATCGGGGGGCTAGATAAAAATACTGTCGAAATATTAACATATTTCATAGTACTAGCATCAGTTCACTCTCCTGTGATGTGACCCTGTTCCCCTCACACACACACACACACACACACACACACACACGGCGCATTACTCTGTGCTGTGCAAAATTCTGCATTTGAACAGTCAATAGTAAATACTTAAACTGATAACAAAACATACTTACAGTACAGTCGCTGATTCAGAAGCGCCAGATTATCATAGCA